CCCAATTCTCAAACAGAAACTTTTTCAAGGTGATTTCTGAGTGCAAACGCACTTGAATTCAGGCATTGTGGCTTTCGTGCTGCGTAATACAGCTTTCGCAACCTCTTATTGTCCTCGGGAGTGCCCAATTACTGACTTTAGCCAGGAAAGTGCTTACGGTAAAAGATTAAATGGCAAATTATTTCTCTCTGGGCAGTGGACCAGTTGAAAACAGAACTTTCTTCTTCGAGGGGTTGGTTACAGTAATCGTATCAGCTGCGCGCTGTGTAAACAAAGCACGCCAATGCCAACGCGTTATCCACTCAGCCATCGCGATCACTTGTCTTTTTTTGTCGTATACGGTATCCGGTGCGCATGAACTCAGAGTTCAAACTAGTTCAGTTACGAGAATTGAGGTGCGGAAGGACGACGTAGACGTAAAGATCCAGGAGCCCGCCCACAACTGGGCGTTCTGGCCTCCTGCACGTTATCGGTGGCGCATCGCATTCGCACATGTTCGATCCTCGTCCGTGGCTGCTTTCCTGCCTATACACCGCTGCGCTCTTTTTCTCCGTACCTCTGTCACTAGCCGTTTGGTACATCAGAAGGGAACTTATCCAGGAGACAACAGTTGCCGGAGATACTCAGGTAGCGCGCTGGAGCAGCACATCTCTTAGATTCGCTCACCTTTCACCTAACACTACAGCTAACCTCAGAGCTGTTCTAAAGCTTCCCATCTCTCCCCTAAGTTTTAGCCTGCACTTTCTCACTGAAGCGGATTGCCTTCTATTTTAGCTTGGTGGCCTCGCCGTTAGATCCTCAGAGAACATCGACTGTGACGATCCCACCACCGTCAAACGCGATTTTGAAATACGCGTTGACCACTAAGGTTTGATTCATGTATTTGCTTGTTTTACTTTTCATCAGTACACACTTTACATTCGATAAGCTGCCACCAAACGCTTTCTTTTGCAAGCTTTCGCCGCTTTTGTTTTTTGATTCATTGACTTACTGGCCCTATTTCGATTAAAAATCGCTCTCATCGGTCACTTTTTCGTCCAAGTTCGTATTTTAATCGACGTTTTCATCTCTATGATTAATACCTTCCTAAATGAGATTCCTCTTAAAAGCACTTCTTATCTTTTGAAAATCTCAATAATCCGTGCCTTTGTTCAATAAATGTTGGCAATGTCGAAGCACGAAGAAAGATTGACAACTTTGATGATGGCTAGCACTTTGTACAATTAATCTAACTGTGTCGCATATGCACTATGATATGAACTACTCCTAGCCACACTCTCTTAGAACTCTGCCTTCTACAAACGTGACTAGGCACCTTTCTTCACATGTCCTCAATTTGGTCCTGTTCCGAAAACTCATATCCGGCTGTTGTGCGGGCCTGTTGTGCACTATCTTTTGGGAAATCTGCGGAAACATGCAGCGCACCGGAACGTATCGACATTTCGAGGAATTATGACATACTTTCTCCTTTGTTTCCGTTCACCAACGGCTACTGTTACCTGCTGACCTTTGCACTCTCCTTCAATCTCGCTGGCTTCGCCACTGTGTGATTCTTGAAAAGCCGATCGAGCCTCAACTTGCTTTGTTCATCTTGATTTTCGTGCTTTTGTTGACTGCACATCCGCATTGTCCGCCATCCAGTTCGCAGGCTTCTTCGTCACCGTGCCACGGGTGTGGCGCGACGAGTCGCACGTCCATGACGCTGCGATCGCTTCCTCGGTAATAAGACAACTCGTTAGCCTGTTCTGCTGAAGTATTTTACCCAAATCCCTACATATATATTTGATTTCGCCTCGCGATAAACGTTTGAACAAAAGAGTCTTGCTTCTGCGACCAGATTTCGGGAGGTATCGCACACTTACATCTACCTATGTTCCAAATTGTTCGCGCTGCGTATCTTCTTCGCGATTACGATCTGCACCTGAGCCGCTCTTTCCACCTCCTGCATCAATCAGGTCACTTCTGACGCCCATCATTCGCACCTGATGACCTAGTAACTACCGCAATTGGGGTGAATACGTGCAAGCAGGATGGCGTGCCGTAAAATTACAAAATTGCTCAAAAACCTTGAGCATTTCGTGATAGCGCAGCATGCTTTCTGATTATGTGGATGAACAGCTTTCTATAGAGTTGCTTTAGATGCACGTGGTCATTATCCATCCAGAACAGTGGAACGGGGGATCGGATCGTTGTACAGTAGCGTTAATACGACATTTTGTTTCTAAAGGTTATAAGGTTCGTTTAAAGTTTCTTTGAATGTTAAACCTTTCCACAAATCTTTCTCCTTCTTTCAGGTTACTTGGTTAACCACTATGATAGATGAGTACTGGAAAGATCACAAGTTTGACGGCGTAGGTGAGAAAGAAAAGTGTACGTTGGCAGTTGCCACATTTTAATCCTTGCTGATATTAAAGATATTCGAGAAGTGGGGCTTAAATTGCATCCAGGCGACTGGTGGAGCCAGAACGTTGCTTTAGGCTGGTATCTCGTCTTAAACAATATTGCACCTGACTTAGTCGTTGTGGACCACTCAGCAAGGTATGATTTTGAAACCATGGTCAGACATTTATCATGCTTGCTACTTGTAGCTGTGTGCCTCTTATTAAATGGCGCTATCCAAACTGCAAGGTTCTATTCTATTGTCATTTCCCTCAACAACTCGTTACGCCATCTAGATTCTTTTTATATAGGTTTGTTAACTGTTAACTTATCCTATTCTTCATTTCTATTCGTAATTTCTATTTGAAGATGGTACTCGAACTTGATCGGTCTCATAGAAGAGCATCTCTTCGAACAAACCGATGTTATCATGGTTAATAGCCACTTCACAGGTAGTCTTTGCTCATCGCACTTTAGCTTCTTTGTAACTAATTGATTCTCATTCAAGAATCTCATTCCAGCCTCTCAGTTCAGCCGTGTCATGCCACGTATTGAAAAAAGTAAAATTCGAGTCGTTTATCCCCCATGTGACGTCGACTCCATTGTCATTTCGGTAGTTATGGTTTCGCAATTTAAAATGACGTCTGCCGTGAATTACTGCTTAGGCCGAAAAACCGATGAGTCGTCGGGATCGTCCTCAAAACGACGTTTACGTTTTTATGTCGATGAATAGATTTTGGCCGGAGAAAAGACTCGATATTATCGTTGAAGCTGCCTGTGAGTAGCTAACCTATAAACATTTGCTTAGACGTAATACTTGTTTAAGCATTACTGAAAAAACGCGGGTATAAATTTCTGGTGCAGTTAGCTGGCTCCGTGATGCCACATATTCCGGAAAGTAGAATATACTACGAACTGCTGCAGAAAATGACAAGGGTACGTTATTAGTATGTCCGATTACGTGCAAAGCAAAAAGCACTTTTTATTGCGAATTCTAGGATCTCGATGTGACAGACGTGGTCCACTTCATCCCCTCACCTTCCGAATGTCAAAAATTCGAGCTATATCGTCAGTGCGATTCAGCGCTGTACACGCCGCCCAACGAACATTTCGGCATTGTACCTATAGAGGTGAAACTGGAGCTAGGTAACACTTGATTTAATCTTCAGTATATCTTGTACCCTTAGGCACTGGACCAACGTCGGCCTGTAATT